GTACTTCAAGGGCTGAAAATTTCAGAGCCATTTTTGTTCGTTTAAAGGTTCCTACACAGTACACATAGTTCTTTTGCCATTTTAAACAAAAGCATACAAACAAAATTGAATGAATCATGAAAATAATATTATTCATCGTGCCTCGAAAAAATATTGGCAGATTTTAGAGTGTTCATAGTGGTTTACCTGCATAAAATAGTCAGTGAAAAACTGACAACGTCGTAAATTGAAGCATGGCTGTTTTTCAAATCGACTTTGTCGATGAGGAAATGTGTCACTACGCATGCGCGAGTGAAATTTCAGCAGGAATCGTGATCTTCTGCCATCAAGTCGAGGCGATACCGTTGAAGGCGCTCTGAGCAACTATTCTGCCACAGAAGTGTTGCACAGTATCAGACGGGAATGAAGGCGCACTAACGTACGCAAAGTGACCAGTGTCGTCCACCACTGGGAGGCGTCTTACTGATCCTATGATGTGCGGCTTTCGCTCGATCGATTGTAGTGAAATTTGGTGCCAGGTGACATCTTTTGACAGGAAACTTGAATTTCAGCTCCAATTTTCGAAATTCGTGAATCATAGACGCAAAAACGAGCTGATAATAACACTGATTGTCAGTCAGTTCCTTTTGGAGCGATTTCAACTCTGAAGGCTCGCTTACTTCAAGGACTATAGATTTCAGATCCGCTTTTGTTCGTTCAAAGGTCCATACCTACACTCCTTTTTGCCTTTTTAACGAAAACAATTGGTGCTCTGCGAGTACTCAAGTTGCATACACAAAAATATGAAGGCGTTTTAATTTCCTCACCCGCACAGAGGAGCTCTGAGCGTGGGATTTTCGTTCAAGCTTAGCTTTCATTCAAAAACAAAAAGAAAAGCAAAGTATAATATTGCTCCTTGTCATTTTGTCTGTAAGGACTTTACTCATAAAACATCCCGCACAATCATAGCAGGATGTTCAACTCGGCTATTGATTCTGATTAAAGCAAAAGATTGCACTAGCCATTGCAAACGTAATTTTCCGGCAAGAAAACTACATTTGGAGATTTTCCGAGCTGGGCACTTTTTAAAATGGTACAAAATTATTTCTGAGGATTTGATTTTGACTTAGATTGGGCGATCACAGGGACCCTTTTTGACGTCATTGAAGTGCCAGAGGCGAGTAGTGAATCCCCATTTGAGGCTGTCGTAGGATATCAGTTGATGATTTATTGCAAACTCTCTTGCAAGCTGAGTAATGGACTGTATGGATGGAGCCACAGCTTAGGAGTGACGTCTTACCGCGTTTTCAATCCATCCAGAGGACCTCAAAATAACATAGTTTGCGGATAGCCCTGCACTTTGCATCGCGGGAGAATGAAGGCGTATCTTACTGAATAAATCACTCCTGAGCCCCACTGCGTGGGTACTTCGCGAGGTGAATTTCGTGCCCTCCAAAAATTGTATTTACAGATACACATTCCTCAAGAGGATTTTTGCAGCTTTTACAGAGGAATAATCGTAACGGAATCGTGTTTTATTGGATTATATGTGCAATTAGCGGAACATAACATCCTATCAATAACATTAAATAAAACTGTGCCGTCAAGTTGAAAATATGAGAGGAGATTAGTCCCGTGAAAGTAATGGTAAAATTGTAAGTGAACACCGCGTTATTTTCACAAGATTTCATTTTGGCATGTTCGTATTGCCGAAAGTTTACCGGAGTGTATACATGTATGAAATGAACCCTCGTAGAAACAACGTGGCGTCCACAGGCGTGGCGTGCTGTGCGATATGTGGATTGATCTGTCATTTAAAAAACTAAATTTTGCCGACAAGAAAGGAAGCTTTAAATCAAAATAATATCTCACAACCTTAAGTAAGCATCACACCATATTTGAGCAAAGTCAGTTCTATGAAAACGGTCAAGGAGTTAAAAGCACTACACAAGAGTACGTAAAATTTAAAATTTTAAAAAAATTTTAAAAAATTTACAATTTTAAAACTCTTAAAAAACATTTTGTGAAAACATTTTATGCAAGTGAGTGTTTTCACAAATTGTTTTTTAAAAGTTTTAAAATTGTAAATTTTTTAAAAATTTTTTAAAATTTTAAATTTTAAAGTCAATTCTAATTTTTGAAAGTCACAAGACTCAACCCCGTTCGTATACCTACTTTAAACTCTTTATCCTCTGTCAAGCGTTCCATCAGATTTTAAGAAATTCCAGTGCACGCTTGAACATTTAAACCACAATAAAGTTCCGTTCAGGAACGCATTACTTCACTAGCACTGATAAACTCACTCAGAGGAGGATTGAATTATTAATTACTAAGTTCAGTTGAGACAAGAAGCGAGGGGTTTCGTGGATAAAGGAGAGCGCTTGATGGACGAATTAGCGCTATCAAATGGTCGATTCCTCGTCGGGATTTATCCGAGTCAGACCAACCGATTTATCTTACTTCACCTCGACCTAGAGAAGGAATAAACCCACAAAACGGATGGAGGTTCACCCCTTGAAAACAATCTTGCTGTGATGGCGAAGAGAGCGCAGTAAGTGTCCAATTTTCGAAATCGCGTTTCCTTCAAAATTCGTCTAATCTGTTTCATATGAAATCGCTGAAATGCCGCCTGAAGCGCCAAAAATGCCAAAAATTGGATTAATCATCACGTCGGAGGTTCCAGGAAGTGAATTTCAAGTTTTCTTTCACTACAAATAACTTATCGAAAATGGAAAATTGCAATGCATCTCGAGGAACATGTAATGGCGCAGATGAATGATGATTAATCCAATTTTTGGCATTTTTGGCGCTTCAGGACGATTTTTCTCGAAAATTTGGCAACGTAGGGAAAAGGTACACATCACATTTTTATGTATTTTTTTACGTTCTTTCCGAAATTGTACACGGTTTCTAGATTAAATTAAGTTTCACACACGTAAACTTGAAAAAACCCCTAAATATTGGTGAAAATTGGCAACAATGGACCGTTAGGCCTTCTAAAATTCACAGGAAGCCATTTTTATGGCCAGATATGAAAAGTACGTAGAAAAATACATATAGTACACACCCATAGAGGGTGACTAAGGTCGAGAAACATTCAAAAGAGCTGCCTTCGAGTATAAAAAGGCCGCTAAAATCGACATCTCGGTCAATTTTCACATCGTGGGAATCCAGGTACAACTATGATATTTTAATATGTTGTATGGATGGATAAGAGCTGTTATCTGGTACAGTATGAAAAATGTACTCCACTTTCTTGAACCTTAGACGCGGCGATTTATCGATTTTTTGCCGTTTTTGACACTTTGGGACCAATTTCCTCGGAAATTTGGCAACATAGGAAAAAATTGTACTGAACATTTTTTATTCATTTTTTTACGTACTTTACAAAAATGTACACAGTTTTTGGATTAAATTGAGTTTTGAATGTGTTAAATGGAAAAAGCCCCTAAAAATGGGCCAAAAATGGCAACAATGGGCCATAAGGCCCCTTAAAATTTATCGGAGGCCTTTAAAAAGGCCAGAAACGAAAAGTACGCAAAAAAATACATAAGAATCATGTGCTGGAAGAGTGATAACAGTCGAAAAAGTCGACGCGCTGCTGCGCCCTTGCATGGGCTCCGTTCGGTCTAATATTTGGCACAGAGTCTACCTAAGACTAGTACTTTGAAAATATGAAACATTTAGCAAAATCCAGGTGGGGCCGGAAAAGGCCCAAAACGTTACTCCTCCTTTCTCATTTTCAGCTTCTCTGACAAATATCCTAACATTTTGGTTCGAGGTTATCTTCTATTGTTTTGAGCCAAACGATACATCGAAGCACTATCGAATACGATCCATTGAGAGACAGAAATTATGCCAACTTAGGGGTATAGGGATGTAACTGCTCTTAGGGATGCTCGATATTGTCCAAAAAACTCCATGCGACGTGCGGCTCACATGGGAAAGACTAAGCTTCCACTTGAGGGGAGCTGCGCTCTGCGTATTGTTGCCAGATAGTGCTGTGGCAGCACATTCCTGCGTTTAAAACCCGTATAAAATTATACACATTTTCCCGCCTAACCTGGCGTCTTGACTCTGAGTTTGCCCCAAAATCACGTGTGCGTTTTCCGACCTGACAAGATTTTTTCGGGAGCAAGTGCTCTGGCCTCCTCAGTCACGCTATTGGGAACTGACGCAAGGACTTAAGATGTCAGATCTTCCTGCTAATGATTGTTTCATATCACATCCTTCGAGAGCGATAACCCCTGCGTTCGAGGGTAATAAATTTGACAGGAATGTCTCTTCATCACTAATTCCATCCTCTGAAGGTACAGATCTAGAGAGCCTGCTAACTGGCGCCAACACCGAGGAACCACATCGCTCTCGGTCGTAACATATGAAAAAACGTATATGGTTGTTTTTAAAATTAAAATTTACTCAAATGAAGTCTTGGAAAAAAATCACCCCCGTTTTAGAGATTTATAATATTTTCTTCAATCTCTTCAAACTTCAAATCTCCGCGGATTCGGCGGGAGCGGCGTGCACCTCGGCGCGTATAAACGGCTCGTGTTCGGCCGCACATGGTCCGATTCCGTTGCAGTTTGTTTTGTTAAACTCAGCATATCCTAGGGAAGATTTTGAGCCCAAGTTTTTTTAAAATTGGTCCATTCTCATATATTTTAGAGAGGGGGGATACTTACTTATTGAACGCCCCTCGTAGATAGCAATTGTAACTTCTACTCTAAAAACACCCAAACGGGGTTTCCTAAAACTAAAATTTCAACAATTTTATTCGTTATATTTAAAATTCTAGAGTTTTTGTATGCGTTGAGCAAAAGTGAATCATAACCAGGAAGACAAAATTGAGGGGGGGAAATGAATAAATAAAAAAAATGCAAATTGAACAAAATATCTACATTTGGTAGACCACCAAAAGGTGGAAGAATTCATAATTTTTCGGACTTTTTAACTAAATGTGACAAAAAACCAGGCATGATAACTACACACTGACTCAAAAGCAATCAAGGAGAAAACTACTATTTTGAATTTGAAATGAAAACTTTATTAAATGACTAACAGAAATACCAAACTATGAAATACACGTTTGAATGAGAAGAAATATTTTGAAGATTTTAAGAGTACTTCAAAACCCTGAAACTGAGTCCGGAAATCGAAGAAGTGTACAAAGGAATCTTGAGAAGACAACAAAAGTATACAGTATAAAATGAAAATAGTGGACATCTGTTGGTACTATAGGAAAAAATGCCTGCGAAAAAAAGTCCGTTTTTTTTCAGAGCAATTTTATTCTATTTCACACGTAATTGTAAAAAGGTTAAAATTGAGCGGAGAATTCATGAAAAGCAATTTATTTAATGAGGCTATCTCTTTCACAAAAAGTGACTTTACAACAGTCCTAGAGAAATCGATGACGAGGAGGCTTCACCTATTCTCCTGAATAATGCATGATATAATGGTTTCTCCATAAGGAAAATCAGTATAAAATTGAATAAAGGAATTTTTTTGGAATATTTTATGAAAATCATGCATTATGTTGTACATAGAGTGAAACGATATTTTGCACTGACCAAAGTATATACGAATTTAAATTTTGGAGAATGTTGTCCTTTCGTAAATGAATCACGGAATGTGTAAGTTTGAAGTTTAGAATTCATATATTAACTACAAGCCAATGATGATTCTGTTGTCTCGTTGAAGAAGTTTTAAAATGCTCTCATATCTAGGAGGCACAAGGCATAAAAAAGATAGGTATAGTTACTTTCATACATACAAACTATATAAACATATTTATATACATTTAAACATGAAAAAGAGTCTCCAGTGCTTAACTACTTACAGAAAACTCAGTGACTGACACTCGTTGAAAGTAGTAGGATAGTCAACCTTTTAAGGTTGGCGATATGTACGATCCTGTAACGAAATAGTGAGACTTAAGCTCAGGAAAAATAATCATTGAAAGTTAGTATAGAACACAATCATCGAAGAAAAGGTAATATAATTTTCCTAGACAATTTTTGAACTCAACACGAAATACATACATCTATGAAGTCTTACTCAAGGACAGGGCGACTCATGGAATACTTTGATTACCTCAAAAAAGGGACGAGAAATATCATTCCGATCGATTTCAGTCCTTCTCAAAAAGTCAACAAGCGCCCGAGCTTCCTCCTAACTTATCAACATAAATCATAGAGTACACGGAGTCGTAATGTAAGAGGGAGAGCTGGCGCCACTTTCAAGCATTTTCCGGGTTCCGAATTCCAAGAATCCTATGTGACTCCGGGTCACTTTTTCGACACATAATCGATTGAATTCGATACATAATCGATTAATTTCGATACATAATCGATTGATTTCGATACATAATCGATTGATTTCGATACATAATCGATTGATTTCGATTCATAATAGATTGATTTCGATACGTAATCGATTGATTTCGATACGTAATCGATTGATTTCGATGCATAATTGATTGATTTCGATACATCGGTACCCGGCCATCCGATGTATACAAGAAAGGGAGGAATTACCGCGTATTCGACACCTCCATTTTTGATCGAATATGTATCGAAAAAGTGACCGAAGCTCGGCGCACACCGGGCTCGGAACTCGTCGAGCAGAACATGCCGCCGGCTCTCCTATTTATATTACGCATCCATGTACTCTATGACATAAAAACTCTCTAAGTTGAAAAGAAGTAGCGGTGGATGATGATTTTCTTATTAGGGCTGACCCGCACTGGCACGTCTGAGTTTCAAAATATCCACCGTGCTTAAGCAACCGACGATCTCCTCTACGATTTCGTCCGGCAGTCGGTTGAATCCCCGCGACAGGAGCTTCAGGCTTTTGACGCCCTCTCTATGCAACCATCTCCGGTGTTTCCCTTTCCGAAAGTGATGATTCAAAATGCTCCCATATATAGGGTACTGCTTGGTGATGAGGGCAGGGCCGATTGCTCGGGTCACAGTCGGGTTCTCCAAGAGCCGGTACAGGTGGTAATCACTCCGCGCTAGCGCGTCACGCATTGACAAGTCGGTACCGCTGAACTTGTGTTTCTTCATCGAAGCGACCTCCGCGTCGCAATTCTGCCTGAACTTCGCAATGCGGCTTATATCCTCATCCCAATACTCTTCAACATCGACATTCCTCAGGTCAGTGAGGCCGTGCAAGGCCATAACTTTCACCACGTGCTCTCCGATGCAGGTAGGGATCTGCCACAGACGATATCTTGAAACAATGCGGCCTAACTGACTCGTTAGCAGCTGAGGATCAATGAAGCGATACTCTAGGACGAGCTGAATTTTTTCGTTGTCCTGGCCATAAGACCATTTTATTAATCTACGGAGGTCAACTTGGGCACCGTAGTCGAGCAATATTTGATTCGACTCTGAGCTACCATACCAGAATGCTTCGGAGATTGACCCTATATCAGCACTATTGGGATCGGCACCGCTTTGCAACAGAAGCTCTTGAACCTTGACGTCTTTTGTACAAAGCAAAGCAGTCTCCCCACTTCTATTCCTAATGTGGACCGCGGCTCCTCTCTTCAGCAACATCTGAACCATTTCCGGCTTTCCATTCCTCGCAGCGATCATCAAAGGCGTCTCGCGGCACTCCACGTCTTGTGACTTGTCTCGTGATTCGTCGTTGACTTCGGCTCCTTCGTCCAGAAGGAGCTGCACAAGTTTGGCACTGTGACGGCACGCATAATGAAGCGGGGAGGCACCGCCAAGGTCATACACATTTACTTCAGCGCCCTTCTCGAGAAGCGCCTTCACAAGAGATGTAGAACCGTTGATGGCGGCCAGGTGTAATGCTGTTCTATCTAGTTCCGATGGACCGTTGATCTCGCATTCTCCATTCTCCAGTATCGTCCGAAATAGGACCTCCTGCCCTCTCCACGTAGCCAGGTGTAGAATGCTACCGGTGTCATCACATCCCAACGGGAAGCTGCGAGAAACGAGGCGACGAAAGGCTTCGCGGTTGGAATCGTCGACGGCAGGGCGCATATCGCTTGCCTTCCAGACCTCGCGCGATAATCTGACGGTAGTGTAACAGATCAAGCTGCGGACGAACCTAGTATGCTCATGGTCCGTGGTTACGGAGAGTGGGTACACTCTGGCCGATGGGCTATCGTCGAGGAAGATCTCGGAGACGAAGTCCATCTCCTCGTCAGTGGCGGGGAGACGTGGCACATCGCGATTTTGCACGATGAGGAGACGGTTCTTGTCGAGGAGTTGAACCAACTTCGGGTGCTGTTCGATGAACTCTGAGGACAGGAGAACGTACCCCTTGACGCTCTTTCCTTTCTGAGCGGGGCTCCGTGTCGCTCTGGTCCTGCGCGAGAGTTCGAGGCTTTCAGAACTCTTGCAGACTTCCGGCTTGGGCACGAATATCAGGCACTCGGCTCTCTTGTAAGTCATGCTCCGCTGAAACACAAAGCATATCGTGCACGCTGAGACCGGGACGCGGTATCTAAGGCTCGAAAAACGAAAGAAATTACACATGGCTCTAATTGGACGTATTTCTGTTAAACGGAACTAAGTGCCGAATTGAGTTCCTTTTGAGGATTTTAGAATCCCGGATAGCACATTCTGTCAAACCGAACTAAGCGCCATGGAAAAGCATTGCGAGTATAGGACGGAACGAGCATCGCGTTTCGCAACACTCGCCAATACAAGCCTCCCTCTCCCTTCCTCCCCCTGTGGCGCTTAGTTCCGTTTGATAGAAATACGTCCAATTAACTTACGGCATTCAGTTCAAGCTCCTGGTGAAGCTGGTCAGAATAATTTCGGGGCGCAACGGCTTTTTTCTGGTTTTTTTTTTTTTGGGGGGGGGGGGGGCGCTAGCCATTTACTCCTTTGGATTGCTGAATCCGAATGTGTAGTTTTCTGACACATCTGGTCAGCATGCCCCACCGGATCCTGGAGTACCTTCGTTTGAAGGGTACGAACATGTCGGTAATTTTGGAGGTTAGGTCATGGAGCTCTAAGGGCCCACAAAAGCAGCCAACCTACGACATTAAAGTGAATCCAGGCTTGGAACTTCGTAATTTGGCCATCACGTCGCGCTGCTCAGAATAGCCAGATAATTGCCAAAATAATAAAAACCGTAATACTTATTCAAGATTGGAGATCCAGAGGATATGGCAACATACTTGAGGAACACTCAGTAAAAAAATCTTCTCAGAATTCCCAAAAATAAAGTCTTAACTACGGCGGAAAGTAATTCTCATTGCGGCAATGGGAGAGAGAGAGACAGAACATGAGGGATTCCGTTGCGCGCTCGGCCGCCGCTTCTGAGCTGAAAGTTTCAGCCGTGCTTTCTCTGCGCTTGTAATTCTAATTGCCAATATTTTTGGCTCAAAAAATCAAGCAAAAATTAATCTAAATCTTGTGGATCTGCTTTTTGTAATTCGAGGAATATTATTTCAGTAATCGTCGAAGGGAAGTGAAATTTTCAGTGGTGACTGGTGGCGCTATCTCTAATCTTGAATTATCCCTAATCGAACCCTGGATTCACCTTAAATGGATCACATTCAGGAAAAAGGAAGAAGCGCGATTACAGTGGCTACAAAATTGTTCAACTTCTTTTTTTCTTGTAAAATACCTCGTAAAAGTGCAGTATTAAAATTCATTCGATTATTTTCCTTAAAAGTCAAGAATTTTTTGGTGAAAAAGTCACGATTGTTTGCTATTCTGGTAGATTTGTTGCAGATAATTATGAAGAAGCAACATTTTTACAACATTGTAATCGCGCTGGTTCCTTTTTGCAAAATACATACACTTCACGTCACAAATACTTTCACAGCGCCGCCTCGCGCTCTGCGACGCCCAATCGCCATTGCCCCCTATCCTCCCAGAGTTCATCAGGCAATTGGCACCTTCTGATCTTCTCCTCCACCCCTTGTCGCCAACTTATGGAACCCAATCGAAATGCAGTGCCGCAAAAAAGGAGCCTCTCTGTGAACATTTCAGTAGTTACTTGGCGACAAAAAATAATAAAACAAAACTTCAAAAATTTGGTTCCCACTCACTTCTCTACCTCATCCTTTTGGCGTAACCTAAGCTAGAACTTTTTGATATACTGCAGGTTCCACAGGCCGGTCACTGACAAAATGGATGGATGCTCATTTCTTAATCCTGAGATTCAAAATTTCGTCGACCCGGTTCGACCTTCGAACGATAAAAATATGGATGTCTAGTGAGCAACATCATGAAAATTTATCCTAATTATCTGGAGTGTCTCGTGGTAAAAAGGATCAAACTATCAAGAAGTCGCGCGAGTTGTCAGTATGATTGCCGCGTAAACCGGCAACAGGCAGAGGCGATTCCAGCAAGTTTTTTTTTTTTTTTTTTTTTTTTTTTTTTTTTTTTTTTTTTTACCGATTTCCAATAGCCTTTGGCTAATCCCACGCTTATTACCCCAGCCCCAGGTGACCATTGCCTGAGACCATCAAACTCAGATCACCTGGCCGGGAATCGAACCCGGGACCTCTCGGTCATACGGCCAGCGCTACAACCACTACACCACAGGAGGCCGACAAGTTGGCCGCGCCACTGCTCGCGACTGCAGTTTGTCTGATTTTGTTCAATTTCGGCGTGTTAAATTTACAATGGACTGATTTAGTGGCTACGTCACTGGATATAATATCGTACCCTCGGTTCAAACGTAAACAAACGCAGAACCTTGTTTCTGATTCGCGCCGTTTCGCGCTCATTCGCGCCCTTGCACCATGGTGGTAAAATGCGTCCAAGTTTTTCTTACAATCGAATGTTCTCGTATTTGAATAATGAGTCTTGAATTGATTTATGACCGGTCAATGACTAAATATCAATAAATTGACCAGATTATTGGAATTCGCACATGAGGTTGAATTAGTTAAGTTTTGAACCATGAATTCGACATCATATCGAAGGACGTAGTCGCTTAATAAGTCTAGCAGTGCACCCTAGAGGATATTTTAAAACTAAGATTGATGCATTTATAAGGGTAATGAAGAAATATCTTTTTGGAGGGGGCGGGGGGGGGGACACTCTTAGTAAAATTTAGACCTCGATTTCGGCGCTCTTTTCAACTTCTTTGTGTTAAATTTAATCATTCGGCAGGATAGTTCATAATCTTTACCTCATACACGCAAAAAGGAAAAAGCGAGCTGTTAATAACACTGGTTGTCAGTCAGTTTGTTTGTTTTAGCTCTTTTTCAACGGACCCGTGTATTTCAAGGGCTATGAAGTTCCGATCCGCTTTTGTTTGTTCAAAGGTTCCTACTCGTGATTATTTCTCCCTCTTTAGCGAAAACGTACAAATAGACTTGAATGAAGCATTGGAAAAATATTTTTTATCATGCATCGGGAAAAATCGACGGATTTTAGAGTGTTCATACTGGTGCACCCGCATATAATACGCAGAGAAAAACTTTAGACATCGCAAATTGAAGCATGAATGTTTTTTTTTAAATCAACGCCGGTGTTGAGAAAACGTGTCTCCGCGTAAGCGAGAGCGTCATTTTAGCGGTAATCGTGATCTTCTACCATTAAGTCGAAGCTATCCTGTCGAAGGCGCTCTGAGCAACTATTCCGCCACAGAAGTGTTGCACAGTATCAGGCGGAAATGAAGGCGCACTAGTGTGCGCAAATCTACTGGTATTTTTTACTGTTGTATAGAGTCCTATTGATTCTACGATATGCGGCTCCTGTTCGACAGATTTTTGTGAAACTTGGTGCCAGCCTAGCTAGGTGGCATTTTTGAATGGGGAAACTAGAATTTCATCTAAAATTTTCGAAATTCGAAAATTCAATGAGGCGAAAGTGACCTAAAATAAAATCTCCGGCAATGCTGTCTTGGCAACTTCGAAATTATCCAACTTTGCAATCGAAGTATCTCTTCTTTATCCGTTTCTCTTCTATTTCAAAATCGATGTACTGAGAGGTTTGCGTCCTGAATTGTCACTGTGAACTCTTAGGTTCTCATTTTTTTTTACAACTGAAGGGCTTTGAGAACAAGGCGCATTAAGTGCAGTTTTTGCTATTTCGAGAAATATGTGTTTGAAGTTTCGAAATTGTAAGGATCCTTATGGCGGAAAGTTCTAACTGACTCTATACTTAAAAATTGGAATTTGGGAGCACAGTTTTTACAGAATATGCATTAAAACTAATTTTACTTGAAATTGTGCTGCGGCCGGCTAGCGCATACACACGAAACAATGATAAAAGGCAAGAGGAATAAATAAAAAGATAAATATATATACTACATAATAATGACAACCGAAAAAGAAAATAACAACATGAGCAAATAACAAAACACTAAACCGCAAACTTAACTACCGTACCCGACCTAACTTTTGTATGCTAAGGAGCTAAACGAGAGAAGTTGGCCCTTGTCTCTGGTTAGCCCAAAGGGCCAACTTAATTAGGGACTTACATTTCTCTACGTTATGAATCCGCGATAGTTTTTCGAGTGAGAGCCCCCTTGAACCCACCTAGGCATCAGGGTGGGATTGTTGACCAAGCCCAAGTGACTCTTGCCAAATCACTTCTGATTGGTCCCAATCACCACCCACGCTCATCAGTCCTCTAATCCGGGAGACCGATGAGTGTCTCGGAAAAGCAAGACAACGGGAAAAAGAGAAACTGCATTCCACTGCACCCAGCTGCAGCCCTCCTTTGTTTTCCTCCGTTGCGTCTTACGGCAAGTTTCTTAGAGGAACGCAAAATCAGAGCAGCAAGTGCAGTGTTGCCAGATCTCCTCTCCCACTGTCTCCCGTTTCCTGGAGGGTTCCAAAGGAACTCTCAGGCCTCCCGCAACACTCTTAGGTCAAGCACCCTAGCCTTGTCTCTGGGACCTGGTTACAAAATCATCAATATCTCAATTTTTTAAAAGACTGCACTTTTGCGCCTTGCCCTTCAAGCCCCTCACCTGAGATCTGCTGATAAAATTTCCTATTTTTCCTCCATCAATTCCAAAAAATTAGAGAACGTTGCTTGATAAAGACCTGAGTACTTTCAAAATTCAAATTTTGACCGATGTGTAAACTTTCGTTATATACGATGGTAAGTATATTTGAATATCAACTGATATAATTTGAGAACGGAAATGTAAGTGCCCTGTAGTCCAAAGAATCGATTTGGTGACTTCTAAATCAACCCAACGATTTTTTTTGGTGCATCGATAACCCGCGAACGCCGAACACGCCTTTGGGAAAAACTTGAGTGAAACTAAGTTTAGAGTCACGAATTCGTACTTGAATGGTTACATTACAAGAGCCAGGAGTTCTTTCTTCTCTGATCTTTGAACTTTAAAGGTAAAAATCTACATTATTGATTAAAAAAAAAAGGTTTCTTGGATTACCTCCTCAAATTGGAGAGAAAATGTGGTCTCTAGTCAAATTTTCTGAATTTCTAGCCAAGATAAGTATGCAACATTTGAATTATTTTCAAATTTTCTTCAATTTGAGAGTTGCCTGTGCAAACTGTATGTTTCATGTTGATATCATAATTTGTTTGAAAGTTATTAGGCGAAGTCTTTTTCCAGTTTTCTCGACTTTGGACCCTTCCTCAAACCTCATCAGACTTTTTTGGGGGCAGACATTTTGGGCATTTATGACCCTCAGTATACTCTGTTACTCAGGGCCGGATTTACGTTTTTGGCGCCCAGAGCAGAAATTTTCGAGGCGCCCCTCGCACGTCCTCCCCTCCCCGCCCGCGCATTTCCCAACCCGACGGTCTTCGTTGGTTACTACGTGCTAACTCTAACTTAATACGAATTTTTCGAGTGAGTGAATGATTCTGGGGCAGAAACCAAAACCAGGTTCCTGTTACTGTTAACTACGAAACTAAGAGAAAGTTTGACCCTTAAAGTCTAGGGTCAGGTCATTTAAAAGATGGAACGCAGTAAATTAATGGTTCTCTGATGTAATTTTTCAGAAGAAAATGCTGGTGGGACAAAAATAGGCATTTCATACGCATGCACAGGCACATATGGAGTAATAACATGCAATATTTACATTGTTAATGTTGTTCAGTCAATAACTTACGAGATAGTCAGATGGTGTGTCTCCATTGCCTTTATACAATCAATCAACAATCAGAGTTTCTGAACTTACGACGCAATTCTCAATTTTTTACAGATTTTGGAAAAAAAAACCAAAAATTTGGCGCACCTCAAAATCTGGCGCCCTGTGCAGCTGCACAGATGCACCATAGGTAAATCCGGCCCTGGCTATCAAATACGAAAAATCATGGAGAATTTAAGTTTTATGTTGACCAGCTTCTCGAAAGAAAAATAAAATTTCTAAGGAAGTCTACAACGTCGCAAATGGAGAAACGTCGTCTCTTATTTTGCCCAAAAATATGTATGTATAAAATTGAAGGCATTATGACTTTCCTCTCTCAACTTATATTCGTCTGTAACGATGAACAATGGAACGCGCTTGCCACGGCGCCTTGATACAACTATACAACCTCGACGGATGTCCGTATTGCGTTCAAAAAATTGAAGGCGTTTTGACTCCCTGCTCATACTACCTGTAGTTGGTTCGATCGACGAACGCGTCGGTTGGCGGTGACGGGGACTTGATGCAACTATTTAAACTTGATGGATGTCCGTATTCCACCGACTGAAGTGCGAAACCACGTATCTCCATTGCGGTGTTTCAAAATTTCCGTTCTTATGTCATCTCTTCCATGAGAAACATTCCAAATTTACGACTTTCAATTTCGAACCAAATCTTCTGCTATCGACAGAGCCGGATTCACGTTTTTGGCGCCCATAGCAGAAATTTTCGAGGCGCCCCTCGTACGTCCTCCCCTCCCCCGTCCGCGCATTTCCCAACCCGACGGTCTTCGTTGGTTACTACGTGCTAACTCTAACTTAATACGAATTTTTCGAGTGAGTGAATGATTCTGGGGCAGAAACCAAAACCAGGTTCCTGATACTGTTAACTACGAAACTAAGAGAAAGTTTGACCCTTAAAGTCTAGGGTCAGGTCATTTAAAAGATGGAACGCAGTAAATTAATGGTTCTTTGATGTAATTTTTCAGAAGAAAATGCTGGTGGGACAAAAATAGGCATTTCATACGCATGCACAGGCACATATGGAGTAATAACATGCAATATTTACATTGTTAATGTTGTTCAGTCAATAACTTACGAGATAGTCAGATGGTGTGTCTCCATTGCCTTTATACAATCAATCAACAATCAGAGTTTCTGAACTTACGACGCAATTCTCAATTTTTTACAGATTTTGGAAAAAAAAACCAAAAATTTGGCGCACCTCAAAATCTGGCGCCCTGTGCAGCTGCACAGATGCACCATAGGTAAATCCGGCCCTGCTATTAATGTACCAAAAATCTAGGAGGGAGAACAAAAACCTTTTGTTCCCCCATGTTACAGTTGTTACACCCAGCGCTTTTGTAATATTTTGATTGGCAAACAATTTCCGCTTGTTCTGATTTGCATTATCAGATGTGAAAAGATCAGAGGAGGATACATACATTTTTATCAAAAAAAAGAAGAAAAATAGGTCTCTACACTTCACCAGCTGCATAATGTTCGCACACATTTTTTGTGTCGATTACATTTGACGCAGAGTTATTGCACAAATTCAACTGATAACATTTACTCATAATGCACTAGTTGGAGATGTTGCACAGTATGGACATTAAAGCAAAATAAATAACACATTGAAGGACTAGATACATAAGGAAATATATTGAAATTTTAGTGCATTGTGCGCAAGCACTTTTTGTTCAATCTAATTGCAAATAATATTTGTGATAATCGTTAGCTAAAGTTATGCACATGCTAATCCAGGGGCTTCCCAGTTTGAAATGTTGGAAAATTATTAGATACTCACTTTTTCAGGAGACCGAAATGAGGAATTTTATCCTGCAACAAGGAGACAGAAATCAAAACTGTTAGCAGTGAAACTTAAAAGCAGCGCCAAAGACCTTTCAGTGCTTTTTATGGTGAAAACCCAAGTCTAAGATTTCAAGTACCTATCCAGATACAGCCTTTCAAATTTACCAACATCATTTGTGGGTGAAAAAATAATGAAATTAGAGTGATACTAATACTGAATGATGCAAATGAATTACTTGTTAGCTAGGTCAGATAGCACTAGAAATTTGAACCGAAACTTATCACACTTGATTCTCACACCCTTCTATAGTTGCATCAGATAAAATCAAACTACGGCAAAATTTCCTTTCATTTAATCAAAATGTGTCAAAAAATCATAGTTTAGAACTGCAATGGCAGTAGGATACTGTACTGACCAACACAATTTTCCTCCTTTTTAGAATATCACTGAATTGAAAAAATGGGTCCATGTCTTCTCAGGTTGAAATTGCAAATCATGTAGGTACAAGGTAGTAAAATTGAAAGAATAATTATGTGTCAGATGACTAAAATGTTGAATATTTTTAGACTATCTCTGACCACTTGAAGATTTTGCTTAATTTCCTCACGAGGGAGTCTCCTCTCTTGCAGAAACTTGTGCAATTATGACAACAGAGAAAAGGTGACTGTTGCCAGCATCAATAATGCTAGTCTCCAACTGAGAGCTCCCTTCCTGTCATGTCTCTAGTGTACGTCCTCATCAACATCATTCTTTGAAATTTTCACAGAGTTTTCTTTCCACCAAGAGGAAAAATCATGAAAGTTTTCAAGAATTGACACTGAGTAGTTCCATTTGAAAATTGAAGTATGATACAAAGTCTGCAAGAAGATGCGTTGTCTGGTACTTAGTTTCACCATTGAAATGTAAACAAGGCAATAATTTCAGGCAGGTATAACAGGGGTGCAGAAAATGCCAGATGATGCAACCGGGCGGGCGCGTGAAAATGTGGAAAAAGCCCCAAAAATAGGCGGAAAAATTTGAATGGTCATCCATCAAAAGTCAAGGAAAAACAGAAAAAAAGGTCATCTTTATTTAAATTGGTGGGATGATTTTTGGAAAACTAATGAAATATTATGTGGAAAGCCCGCGGGCAGGCGCGTGAAAATGTGGAAGCTCGAAAGATTCTGCAACCCTGGGGTGTAATTTTATTGAAAGATTGTCCCAAAACGTCGCATAATCTTACAGCATGAATAGAGCAGTCTCTATCAGACCAGATTCTTTGATTGTCCACGAAGCAAAAATTTCATTCCGAAAACAAAGAATGGAATGCCTGGAATGGGCAACTAGTGAGGGTAATAATTTTTCGATCGATAGACCAAGTAGCTCAGAAAATGCTGAAGTTCATGCCAAATAAGTTTACACACGTAGACTGCAACAGAAGATCTACCATTTTTATTTTTGCAACAACTTCCAATGCTCGTGTCGTGCGATCCTCTGACCCATTTCAGTGGTGCGTTAAACTTATTTGGCGGGAGAACTAACGGGAGAGATACTTAACACAAGTGGTACCTTGCAAGAAACTGACAGTAGAGGGCTTTTTCTTATCTCAACCGCAGAGGAGTGCTATGGAAGGCCTCACTATTTTTCCTGGTCCACTGGCACGGTCCAGCCTGTTTCTTGAAGAACGCTAGGATCTTTCTCATGAGGTAGGTTACATGCAGTTACGGGTGGTCCTAACCTCAGTCGCGTCACTTCAAAACAGAAAGAACCCAATCCACTGCGTTGTATGGATAAATAAATAGCCTTTAGAAACCATGCTAGGTATCGTAGTCTAAAATTTTCCAAAAATATGTTGAGATTGGACAAAACAGATTCCATGAAAGACCTCCTCTTGAAACGGCTCCCTACGTCATCATCCAAATCACTTATGACCACTGATACTGCGCTAGAATTGATAACTGCATTACATGGAAGATAGCTTACTTCAATTTGGGCATAATCACCTGTTCCTACAGGTGTAATAGTTTATACGTAGTATTATTTCAAAGTAGGAACATGCATGCATAGCATAACCTAGGGACTTGATACACTAACCTAGAAAGCTTTGTTTGTGCACCCGAGAGAGAAAATACAATTTAATCAGTGGTCATAGAATGGTGCCACTGGAGAATTTCAAGAGGGAAAAGATATTAAAATAAGTAGGTATGTACCGGAACGGAGCAGGTTGAGTGAGTCTCAGCTTCAGCTACTTATGAACAATGGGCATACGACGTAGCCACTACTGTGAAGGAGAGGAATTTTCAAACTCCGATCGTTAATAACAACAGTAAATTTTGTAACATCAAAATCATTGCGATAACTAGCGTATAAATACCGAAAGACAGACAAAGAGTGCTGAAAAATTCAACGCGCACGTAAACAGTAAACATGAACAGGATCCAACGTGTTTTACAACCAAGGCGGATAAAGAATGGTGGTCGCATTTCGATTTTGGCTGCCATCTTGAAGCGTTGTGACGTCAGGAGGGTACGGGTTATGCCGTGCAATCCGAGGTTGAGTCGGCCCCCCCGGCCTCGGCCAGCCCATGTACCCGATGTACCCGATACCGTGTGACGTCCAGAGGGTACGAAATGCGACCACCATTCTTTATCCGCCTTGTTTTACAACCACATGTGGATTCTAGTCGCTCATTGGTTAACTTCCGCTGTGACAGGAAATCGGAACAAACTTGACGGAATAGAATTATACTTTTGAATAATCCTCGTGATATGTTTAACTCGAATTAGGAGATGAAATGACCTACATAATAAAAACAAAAGCTAGTAAAAAGTATTTTGATCTTCATTTTTAAGGGTTATTTCCAAGAAAAAGTTATACATCGCCGTTACGAGTAGATAACGCATTGTTTGAGCGTTGGCTGCAATGACTGGCAATTTCGCGCCTTGCTTGTTCCAACCAATCATATCGTTCAGCGCCAAATGAGATTATTTTAAATTTGCGGGTGCCCACCAAGGTGCGCGCATCCACCATCCCCCGTCCCAACACTTGAGCTGTAATAGCAGTGCTGCGACATTGAGCATATCATAGTTTCTCTCTGAACAATTGTCTCTAACTCATAGTTGAATTCTAATAAATAGAAACCCTCCATGCAAAACAAAATAATGTAAAATTTTAAGAATAGCTAATTAAATAGCAGTAGTTCACAAGATTTATACGACCACAAGCTCAATAATGAGTACGTAGTACCCTTGTTTCCGTAGATTTCAAATCCTCAAAATTGCTTAAGTACGTGAATACATTTTTTGAAATCTCAATTTTATTTCTTATTGTTTTATTTATTTCTTTATTTTTATTTATTTTTTTTTCATCAAATTTAGATTGTGAATTTGTGTGCTTTTGTGAGGCATATTGTTATGTTTTGATCCGAGTATTTTAGGCGCTAATTAGTTCGCATTATGCAAAGAGAACCTTGCAATCCAATGTCGCTAAGATCGTGCAACTTTTTTTACCTTGCATTTAAAAAATGATAATCTAAACAAGTATTATTCTTCGGTCCAAATTAACTATAAATTCAATAGGGAAATTACCCGCGTAAATTCAATTTCTTGCATCGTACCGCAGTAATGTTTGCAAAGAATGCAAGTTGCACAATCCTGGAGACATTGGAATGCTCTTGGTTCCTTTATGCAAAATTCAATCCAACTGTCGAAGGCGGGAGGTTCAAATATTTTATAGATTTTTCTCAAAATGAACGGGTTCCGAAATTCAAACCTCAGACTGTCACCACTCCGGTTTGATTTATTATTTTTATGGCATCATTTGTATCGAAGCGCAAACTTTCCTTAATAAAGTGGTTGCAATAAATTTTCAAGCATCAGTTATCTTACTGTGAGCGTCCCTCTCACTGGGAAAAAAAACACATTGGATCTAGAGCCTAGACTCTTAAAAACATCGACAAGAAAAAATACTTTTGATTCAATCAGAATCTAGCTTAAATCAAGAACCATGCCTCTTAATTTAAGCGGATTTTGTTTTGATTCAAGCAAAAATCCGATTGAATCAAGAGTAATTTTTCTTGGCAACGTTTTCACGAGTCTGGACTCTACATCCAATGTGTTTCTTTTCCCCCGGTGCTCCCATGAACAGTCATATTTTCGACAATTTCTAAAGTCAATGCGCGTAGCGACGGATCCCTCCCAGCTGTGAGGAAAAAGAGAAAAATAGGCAACGTTCCAGCAATCATATATACCTGTAAAAACTTTACAACACTGTATAGTTTTTAGTTGCTAAGTGATTTCTCCCTGCTGTTCTGTTTATGCTGTTGATATATAAAAGGTTATTGCGATTCAGTTTGGTTTCCTCCGGTATTTGAGATTATTTATTTACTGATTAGTTTAGCTATTGAAAATAGCTCCATTTGGTGACCCCGACGTGATTATATACTCGAAATCTCTAGTCAAAGTGAAAAATAATAAGGAATTAGAGTGAAGATGAAATGTTTGTAATTGAGATAACCTAAAAAAAAAAAAAAAGAGAGAGTATAAGTAGACGTTGCGTTTAACACTTTGACAAGAGCATTTCTTACTAATTCATTATTGAGGATGCAGTGAGCGGTTTTCGCCTCCATCCGATAATAATATGAATGCAGTGAGCGGTTTTCGCCTCCATCCGATAATAATATGAATGCAGTGAGCGGTTTTCGCCTCCATTCGATAATAATATAAATGCAGTAAGCGATATTGTCGCATACAAACTGAGAGCTTAAAAGCTACATCATAGAGAATGTAGTGAGCGATATTTTTCGCCTCCATTCTCGATGTGAACTCATGAATTAAGCTTGGATAGAAATAAGATTGCAGTGAGCGATATTTTCGCCTCCATTCTTATCCTTGCAAAACTTGTGTAAGACCTGGGCCTAGGCTTCTCATTCGATCGGACAGAGGCGGTGTCTCGACACGAACGAAAATTCTAAAATAAAAAAAAACGCATTGCTAGGTACATTGTTGCCAGGCAAGCTTGATGATGGATTGATGTCATTTAGACTGCATAATTTGATAATTTAAAATTGTGTAAATCCATTTATTGATTTGTAATGCCGTTGGAAGCGGTAAAGTGCGGTTCTTAAAAAATAATAATGAAGAGAACATTCAAGGCATCGAAAGCTTCGCGAATCAGCCCAACGCCTCCCAATACTGATCATCATGAAAAGTTGAATGGATTATTAACCTCATAAGAACAATTGGAGCGTCAGCTGTTGAATTTTAAGAAATCTGTAGAACACGGAAAAAAATCTATCAGCTGCCCAGCTACAATAGTAATCCAACCAACTATACTGCTTTCCCAATTTGGCGCCTGTTATGCTCTTAACCCGTGTCAGCTATACCGGTATGGTAACCGCTGGCGCTCCCGGCGGATGACGCTGCGCACTAGACGCGAGTGCACCGCCCCTACGTTAGCACGCCTCGGCCGGCTGACGGTATAGTTGAGCCGGCCATCTGACTATCGTCTTCACTTCTCTTTATACCTTGGTTTGTTATTAGAATAATTAACTGGTAATATGGTCATTCATCCTTCACATGGCCCAGCTTGCAGTATAGTAAGGTTAGCCAGCAGAATAACCCATGCTCATAATTATAATTGCCAAAATGGACTCCCCTCTAATTAGTGGCTGCAGGGAAATATACTGAAGCTAATTATTGAAAATAAATAGCCTCCGAGTCTTACTCAAATTCGTTCCTTAAACGTTAAGGCTTCCTTAACCAATGCATTTCTTATGGCTTAAGGAGGCCTTAATGTTAAAGGAACGACTATGAATACGACCCTGAGGTTATTTTTTTCAATTAATTAGCTTGAATATATCTCTGCGGCCTCTAATTAGAAGGGAGAGTGGTTTTAGCATTATATTGAGAGCATGCGTTAAAACTTTCATTTAATTTTCTTACAACAAGGATTCGACTTACTTTTAACTACAGTGAAATAAAAAATATTTAATTGGTAATAAAAAGAAATACCTACCTAGATAAAAGATAAACTCTCTCCCTAGGCTGATAATTTAAATTTAGTAGGTATAAAGTACTATCAATTTAAAATGAATGATTATTTTGAGTGCAATGAGACTGTATTATTTTAAACGAGCTAAAAATTATCTTACATTTTGAGGATAAAACATTTAAAACAAGAATATTCAAAGTGTAAGAAAAACTAAATAAAACAAAAATCTCAGAATCACACTTATGGTTGGTTCCTCTTATTTCGACTATTTCATCTGTTTTCATAATTGAGTGGAAAGTAAAAATGACCAGTAGGATTCCAGGATTACTGCCCATTTTGATTCCAGTTTTTTTTTCTTTCAAAATATTTTTAGGTTTATTTAAGTTCGAATTTCAATTAAATTTAATTCCAATGATGCGTTTACAAAGGCTTTTGGCAAATGCATAATGCAAAGGGATATTGAATAATATTTATCATCATAAAATTAAAAATTAACAAAAAAAAAAGCTCACCAATTTGCTGAGATTTGTGATCCATTATGTCAGAAAAATTCACCAAAAGATAATGGGTCCAAAGTTCTTCTTACAATTTTTAAGTAACTTGGAACACATGAAAACACTAAAGATGCGCACTGTGGAAAGATTTTAAGCACCTTATCACAACAGAAAAGAACTAGCACCAAGATTAAATGGGTGATTAATAGAGAACAAACGTCTCAAAACCGCACTGACACTTCACCCATTTTTTATCACAGTAAAAAAATGAGCATTATTTCATCGGACTGATGTGACATCCTTGCTCAATGGAAAAGTAGATGCTTGAATTTCACAACTTGCTCCAATCATTGATGATATTAAGGTAGCCATCAATTCTTTACCAAACAGTCCTCCCACAGACGACAAGGACCATTTTAAGGCAGAGAGCAAACGGCTTTAGAAGTTGGGTGACAGGCGAGTGTCTGGAATTATTGATCTGAAAAAATACAAAATGGGAGACAGATCATCAAATTTATCCACAGTTAATAACTGTCGTTAAGTAAAGGAAAAATGAAAATAATTTCAATAAATGAACCAGCATTTACAAAATGACAACATGACAAATTTAAAAAAAGAATGTCACACTTCATTTTGAAGGAAGGGCAAATTGATAAATTAAACTTTACTTCTGAACTGAGCCCCTGAATGTAATTATTCTACCAGCAGAAAAATTCTAAAGTCAAACTCCATGTTTCTAAATTGATAAGTTCCAAAATTTCCTCTTGTATCTCATGTTTTTACGTGCCATCCATGGAAAAGTTTAGTACACATATTTACGGTGGAAATTTGGTGAACATTTTTCACTGAAAATAATTTAAGTACTGGTTCATTCATTCCTCCAAATTAAATGGGGAGGATAAGCAGCTATCACAAGAGCAGGCCTAGTCACACAGTTTGACAGTGTGCGCATGCCCAGA